TTGCATTGGGTGTGAACTCTGGAAATGAACTTTTGCATGATATTCTAATTTTTCAAGTTTCACCTGTAGGGAAAAGCTGGTAGGTATACTGAGCCACTGCATAACTACCTCTCATCAGTGATGGGATTCAATTTTTTTTAGTACTGGTTCTGTGGGCTTGGCTTGGTGGGTGTGGCTTGGTGGTCATGTGACTGGGTGGTCATGTGACTGATTGGCGTGGCCAACTCAACATCACTCATAGCAAGTGGCGCCTTGCCTCATCCCGCTTGCCTGGCCTCCTGAGCTCTTCTGGTCTTTGTCTATTAATTTGTCTACTACTACAGTGTCTGGTTGATTATCTAATGCCTGCCTATCCTTCTGGATCCGGAACTCCCACAGATTCGTAGCTCTATTATTCTCCACAATCTTCTGTAGAAACTCTTTGATGGCTGGCTGGAGAATTTTGGGAGTTAAAGTCCATATATCTTTCAGCTGAGAAACACTGATCTACCCCTTGGGTTCTATCTAGTGTGGTAAATCCCTGCTTCTATGGATCTGGTGCTTAGTGCCTGTTCTTGTGCTGTTATGATCAGTGCTGTCTTTTACACAGACACACACCTCAGAAATAGAATAGAATTCTTTATTGTCCAAGTGTGATTGGACACACAAGGAATTTTTCTTTGGTGCATATGCATATTTGGTATACAGAAAAAGACATGAAAAGATACATAATTATAAAAATAATGATTTCTCACTCATTTCTTTACTACTAGTAGAAACAAAATAAGCAGCCATAAATGTCATCTAAAGTTGCCCTAAATAACAATCATTAGATTAGAAATACCTGCAAACTGGATTTACAAAACAGGCAGGGTACCAGAGCATCTTGAGGAATTAAAATAGTTAAAATGCAATGATAATTATCAGCTAAAGTGAAACCCTTTAGCAGAGAGATCATTTAAGCTCTCAAAAAAGAGCACACCCAGGAGAAACAATCATTAGATCCATTTGCATCACTTAAAGATACCAGTTTGTCTCACTCACCTCATAAGATATCCTAAGGGAATCACCCAGAAAGATCACATGCCCTCCCCTCCCCAGGAAGACAGTAAAAAATCAGTGTCAAGCTTGCATCCTGCTTCTTGGAAGTACACCCCAAAAGGACAGTGTCAGGACCACTAAAGCAGTGAAAAAGATCCCCTCCCCAGATAGAAAAAGAAACCATGAGGCAGGAAAAAATTCAAACACAATACAAACAATAAAATCACAACAGTTTAAATCCTTTTAAAACTAAAACACAAAAGCTCATTTCCAGAGTTCACACCCAATGCAAGCTCAAGTGTAAACACTTGAGATAAGCCTAATTACAAAGAAAGCAATTAGCGCTAGAATGTAGCAAAGGAGCAAACACAGTAGCTGTTGCTTGTTAAACCAATTACCAGAACAAATAGACACAGGAACTAGTCAGATTTCTGAACCCTGCTTCTTTTCAGGAATAGAGATTAACCTTTTCCCTTCCAAACAAAGCTGAATAGGGAAAATTATCCCATCAATAAACTTCACCAAGCACAGAATTAAACTTCACCAAAAACCAGTTTTAGACCAAAACTCAGAAAGAGTATGTAAACTCATGTTTGAATGTCAATATTTCTAGTTAGTCAAGAAGCCTTACTGAATGTCACTCATCTTGATTTCTTGTCATTAAAAGCTTCTTTCTGGCAGCTCTGCTTCATTATTCAATTATTTCTTCAAAGTGCTTGATCATTGCATCCTGGCTGGAAGAATTCCAATAGAGGAGTATTTCCTCCCAACAGCAGC